GCTGCTGGTGGTGCATGACAAGACTGGGGGGCAGGTGGGGTTGTGCTTGTGGTTTTCCCTGCCATCCCACCCAGCTCAATGACATCACCAGCCAGAGGATCACAGTATATTAAGAGCCCTTAGCAAACTTGGACGCTCTGGCAGGAGATGGGGAAGCGAGCACACCTGCCTCCCTGTCCCCCCAACCTGACCCTGTGAGATGCTGCCTGAGGCAACCACCCCAGGCAGGCTGCCCCATTATAAGGACAGCCCTGAGTTCCATCATGCCTTTGGTTCTGGGACTCCTGCCATGTCTTGCAATGCATTCTGGGACTTGTAATTACACTAAAGCTGGAGTGCTGAGATTGCCTGCCATTGGAGTACCGCTGTCTAGAGATGAGACTGGGCTTGGTGTAAACCCGGTTCATCGTTGTTCGCCCAAGCCCGTTTAACATTGTGACTGCCATCCGCCGTGGCCCAGTCATCTATACATCGCAAAGGGGCAGGAAATGGTCCCCTCCAACTGCCACCATTAATTGGGTCAGGAGGAGAGTTTTGAGTGGGCTTGGGCGAATTCAGGTGAACCGGGTTCACACCAAGCCAGGACTCATCACTACCACTGTCCAGTGTTTATTTCTGTCATTGTTGCAGAGATTCGCTCTAATTGGCCTGATTTCCAATTTCCCCAGGAATGGAAGTGATGGGAAATCCAAAATTATGAGTTGTCACCAGATCAGGGATAGAAAGGGAATCTTCCAATTCAGACACTTGTTCCCGGAGTCACCATAGCCCTTACAATCTGAATGGCGAAAAACAAACAACCAGTGATTTTAACCCTCCTGTACTCTAAAATGAAAACAAACACTTTTCTTTAGATATACTTTAAAAATTCCATATTTTCTAAATGTTCTTTTCAATTCTTGATGTTATTTATGAAGGTAGTGCGTTTTAAATACAGAAGTAAATGTACCCTCCAGGCTAGCAGAGGGTGTGCAGCCTGCCGAAGGGTGCCCCGTGTATGTGCAACGTTCCCTGGCACCCTTTGCTTGCTCAGATTGCCCCTTTCCTCCTCTGGCGGCTCTTTTTCCAGTTATATTCCCATGCTTCTATTATCTTCAGCCTTGTGTGTGGCCACTCTTAGCTGCAGTTTTCATTTGTCTGAGCTAAACTTTGCCATTGTGCCCCTTGGGCCTGCCACCTCTTGTTGTGCCATCTGTAACATTAGCTTGTATTCCATTCCTTCATAGCTGCATCAGTATATTTGTACTGTTTAAATCTGCACTTTTTTTAATGTGTCAGTCATATTTAGATCCTAACCTTGTAAAGCTTGAATTCCTAATTATTCTGGTGTCCATTCACCCACAGGATGGGTTTTACGTGTGTGTGTGTGTGTGTGTGTGTGTGTGTGTGTGTGTGTG